GTTTTAATTTCTATTTCGCACATTTATTTTCTTTTCGAATATTATGTAACTGCTCAAGGCTTGTAATAGTAATTAGGTCTTTTACTTTCCGCATCTTTTACCAAACGGGTCTTTGTAATTTGGCGATGTATAGACCCGCGCCTTGTAATAGCGTAGGATTTATCTTTCCGCATTTAAATTTCCGCACTCTAAAATTCTAAATTGCATGAAAGAATGTATGGCTAATTAAAAACAAGCGTAGCTCACAATGCCCTGATCAAAGATAAATAATGACATGAAAATAACACACAAATTCACACACCACTTCTAGGGTACGCCTCACTGTTGCCTTACCTTCGAAACGTGGTCGTCGAGTATAGGACGTTTTAGTAAGTCCTTATGTCCATGATCCAGTTGCCTCGAAACGGTTGCCTCGGATTAAAAAGGGCATAAGGGTAGCTTCTAAGGTGTCCTGCTGTTGCTCTGGTGACCACACTGTCCCTACAAACGAATTGACCCGAACACCTCCAACGGTGGTGCTACTTACCTCTCAATGGTGGGATGGCACTACCTTAAGGACTTCTACACAGCCTAATTCCTTAGGGTAGGTAGATGACTCATGGGTACTTGCTCTCTTCAAAAACAAACAAAACACCTTTTCACACCGACACTTTCAAAAGACTTTCAAAACAATTTTTCAAACACTCTTGAGGACAGATACAAGAGTTATTCAGAAATCTTTCAAAGAAACTTTTGCAAAACCCACTCACATTTTGAAAAGCAAACAAACGTTTTGAAAACAATGAGCAAGTATCTAAGAGCCCATGGATAACCATGGATAGAAAGGGTGCTAACACCTTCCCTTTCTATAAATCTACCTCCCGAACCGAGAACTATTCTCATAAGGAATTTTGCTGTGCTTTTGTCCTGTCCATGTTGGAGAAAATAAAAGACGGTGGCGACTCTTGCTTCCGCGACATTTCGCGAACCAACTTTAAACAGTCAGTTCTAAATCCACCGATCACACCTGGCAATGTGCTCGATGGTGGATTCATTTGTGTCCCCTGAGAAATTAGTGAATTTTGGGATTTTGTGACCCCTTGGTAATTTTGTTTGTAGAATAAATTCCGCTATAGGGGAAGCATAGTTGGGGCGTCGAAACCATGTGTTTAAACCATTATTAGCCATGATTCTTTTGATTATGTTTGTTATATTATTTTTGACCAACAAGTGGTCTTGTCTTACTATGTGGACAACTTCATCTGCATCTTGGCCTCTATTGACCATGGCTATCCTCCTAGGTGGTTCCTCAGGGTCTGGTTGTCGAACACCTACCGGTTCCATTCTTGGTTCTTTGACCAAATTCTGCCTAGGTTGTTGAACTTGGTTTATAGTTGATTCTTCTTGGACCCCTATGATATTCTGCCTGCGTCGAACAAGCGGTTGGGGGTTCCCAAAGAAATCTGCTATTCGTGCCATATGCATTGACAACTGTTGGTATGATTGGGTGTTTTCTTGATTGGTCCTGTTTATATTCTGGATTAGGGGAGAAAAGATAGTATTCATCTCCCTTGTCAATATCCCAACCATATCTTGGTTACTAGCGTCCATCTGTTGTCTAAGCGCCGCTTGGGTATTCGTGGTTAAAGTAGGCATCTGGGCTGATAGGCCTTGGTTTTGGGCGCTTCGACCAATTGAACCGACATTTTGAATTGGCGAAAAAGTACTTATGTTAGGTTGAGTATATGTGGAAGTGCCATTGTGTAAACCGCTTATGAATGATGATGAGGGTCCTCCATATGGCTGTTCTGTCGAAGGCTTAAAATTTTCGAATCCTGGTGGCCTGTGTGGTGTCGAAGGTGGTATTTGGCTTCCTACATATGTTAGAACAGAGCCACCTAGAGTATTCGATAGAGATTCTGATGTACCCCCGTAGGGGGGCATGTTGGTCGCACTAGCCACAGAAGTAGTTCCTGTGTAAGGTGGATTCGAATTAGATGCGGCCATCGCTCCCATCGATGTTGGAATGGCCTGGGAACTAATCGTCAAATTTATACCAACGGTTCCTGATCCTTGTGGAGGATTTTGTCCTCCTTGATCGTTAGTTGTGTTAACCATTCTTCTGGTGTGTTTTTTCTTAGGTATTGGTTGAGATTCTATAGTAACTATGCCACTTCTAAGGTTCATATAACGCTTTTGCGTATCTTACCAGAAAATAGTGTTTCAAATCCTCTTTTATGATTAGCACTGGTTTTCTTTTAAAACGTTATGACACTGTCCCACCGGGCGTGCCAATTTGTTTGCAGTGATTTCTGGCGAAACAACCGCTAGTCTTCCAAACATATTTGATGTGTATGGTTACTTGCAGGATCGACTAGATTGATCCTAGAACATTGTCTTAACGTCAATTGTAACACTTTCTTGAGGGCTTATGTAAAATATGAAGTAATATTTGTGCATGTGTTTGTGTAAAGATTTGGAGTGTAAGGCTTCTGAAATTAAATTCAAATGTAAAGTTTTAGACGAAGCATCTTAATTAAAAAAAGGTTTGAATATAAATGTTTGACAATAAAAGACTTAATACTGGAATTAAGTGACTTAATTTGATCTATGAATCTTTGCAGGAGATTAAGACAATTCGATAGAACATAAAGAATTTAACGTAACATAAAGAATTTTAAGAAGGAAATTGTAACAGAATGATTTTAAAGACAATTATATTGATAAGTGCAATTTCAAAGATAAAATTGTGAGGTCATACGTACATTCTCAACGAAACTCTTTCTCTTTAACTTGATATTTGAGTATTCTTGTGAGTAATTTTGCACGAAAATCTGACCTCCTCTCCCTAAACACTAAAGAGCTATTTATAATGTCCTAACTATAACGGTACTATTCTAGGAAAAGGCCACGTTGCTCTCTTGCATGTCTTTTGACACTCTAAGGCTCCCATGCGTCCTTCTTATCCAAAGAAAGCCCTTTTAGAATTTCAAAAAATCCCGCTCAAGCCTTCAGTAATAATTTCCTTACGTGGCCGTCGAAAAATGCGCTCTTTGGACCAAATACACAATCTGCCCTTTTCAGGCTATCTTCGACGTAGGTCTAGTAATGTATTTCGACATAAAAAAAACTCTTTTTCAGCCGTCTTAAAAAATGTAAAAAGCTCATATATTAACCTGGTCGAAATTCCCAGCTAACACGCGGATAGCGCGCTTAGCGCGATTTAGGGAGGTTTGATGTGTAAAATAAAGAAGTTGCACTTAGCGTGCCAGGCCCGCTTAGCGCGGTCTGCTGGAATTTTTTATAACTTCATTTCATTTATTTGTTAGGTTATGGTTTTGAGGAAGTTTTTGCTCCCAACTCCATCAACCTTCAATTTTGTTAGGATTAGCTTAGATAACAACTATGGAGCTTGCATACGGATGATCCGGGGTGGATTGCTCTTTGATCGATGCTGATAAATCGGTAGAGTTGTCATTCATTTCTCTTTTTCTTTGTGTATTCTCTTTTGGTTGGGTTTGTAGATGTATTTTCTTTGAACTCATGTATATTTGTCGCCCTTGGCGTTATATAAAACTTGCTTTACAAATCTTTGTCGATTGTTATTCTTGATTTTTGCTCTGTGCTAGGGATTTGAATTGCTATAGACATATACTGCTTGAATTCTTATCTGGGATTGTTATCTAATAGTGTCTGAATTCTTGAGATAGATTTAGTATTTTTATTCACTTAGGGTGTTTGTGATTAATGTCTCTGTGTTGTTTGTGTCGCTCTAAGAGATCGTCCACGTAAGTGAGCATGGTTGACTTATGTGTTGTTGAGGTGGCTGAGAGATCATTGCAAAGGTGATACAGTGGGTGTTGTGTTTGACACGTGATGACATTGATGAATATTGTAGGTTTAGTATAACAGCTCGATAGGTTTAAGTCTGTGAGAAGTATTATATATGCATGCTTGATAAGTTATTCTTTTTTCCTTTTTATACATTTATTTTTTGTTAATACTTTTCCTTTCAACCCATTTATCCCCCAAACTCATTAACGAGAGATTTGTCGAACGACATTTCAATTCACTAATCTTTGTGGACATGATACAATATGACCTATATCACCCAATAAATTAATAATTTACTTTTTGCTTGTCGCTTTAACGCTTCCAGCAAAAAGCAATCAACTCTTGGACATCTCTTAATCCATGAATGATTGAATGATGTTTGAAGATGATATGACCTAAGATTATAGGTCAACCCTAATGCACAAGTCCTTTAGAATCAATGTTGACCCCACTTTGACTTTGATCACATGAAAACCCCAACTGAAGAAAATTATTTTATCCACTTGGTTCACACTTGTCTTTGCAAAATAAACCAAAAGAAAATAAGACATATTTTTTGTATTTTAATTAGTGGTTAGTAAAACATAAAGTATTTATGTATAAGATACACAAATGGGTGATTGGTGATCCTTTAAAGGCAAACTTAAAGAAGGGAGAGAGAGCAAAGGTTAAAAGGCAACTCAAGATTGTGATCTCGATGTATTGCAAAGATGCAAAAATGATGAGGAATCTTAGGAGTAAAAATTAGGATATAATAGATCGGTTTTGATTTGAACAACTAATAATATTTGATTTTTTTTATAATTTTTAATTTTTTTTAAAATTGATTTGAGGTTTTTATTTGAATCATTTTTGATTTGAACATTTTTATTTGTAATAGTTTAGTAATTTGATATCATTATTATTTGTAAAGATGAAAATAAGATAGACTGATTTAAATAAATAAAAAATTTGTATTGTCATACCATTATTATTGTTTTTTTACGTATTAAAGAATAAATTATAATTAATTCACATTGCTACTGTAATCAATGTAATGACACTTATATAAATTGAAAAACCTTTACGCTACTGTTACGTGACAATTTTTTAAAAGCATGATATTATGAGCTTGTTGATGAAATGTTAATATATCTTCTGAATGATATCGACTTATTTAAGGTAATACATTGTGGAAGAAATACAAATTAAATAGGTGTATTGAGATGATTTAGTATAGCAGCAAAAACCTCAGCAACTTGATCTACACTATTAGCATATATTGGAAGCTCTGATGAGTCATAGAAAGGATGATGAGGGTCTGAATCTTCTGAAACACAAACACGAACATGACTTCTAACACCAACTGCATCTTGAAGCGCAGTATCGTATTCTCCCCTTTTCATAAAATCTGGAGTTTGCTTAAGCATAGCAGCAATTCCATTAAAATGAAGCAAACACCTATCATAATGATGTTTTGCTTGAGCATCACCACCACTTTTTGAGATCAACATGTTGATAAGTGTGATGGTGTTGGTCGTGTTGGCTAATGTAACATCAATTGTGTATAGTCCAAGGCTAACGAGATCTCGATTTTCGCCTGGTTTTGAATCGAGAAGAGTTACACAAAATGAAGGATTTTTTACTCCCTTGCAAATTGTATTCACATCCACAGTATTGACTGCATAAGAAGATGCCACACATAACAGAAAAACCATTGCAAGTGATGAGATGTGAGCCATTGTTTTCTCAATTCTATTTTTCTAATAGTATTATTGCCAACTCTCCTTCCTATTTATATTGATTTCACATCTTCCTCCAAAACATATAAAAAGAGATTTTAAAATATTAATATAATGTTTTCATATTTAAAAAGTTTACCATTTTATTTTATAATGTTATTGATGTTTGTTTTAACTTGAAATAAATCATATTAGTATATTGTTTTACTTTAGAAATAGTTGAAATATTATTTTATGAATTTTAAAATTTTATTATTTTAAGTAATATTATTTAAAATAATATGCAAAAATTATTTACTTCAAAATAAATAAATAAATAATTATTTTTGTATATGTTTAAATTATTTATTACAATATGTTTAAATTAAAATTTTACCATTTTAGTTTTATATTAGTATATTACTTTAAATTAGTGATAGTTGAAATATTATTTTATAAATTTTAAAATTTTAGTATTTTAAGTAATATTATTTAAAATAATATGCTAAAATTATTTGAAGAAATATTAGTATTTTAAGTGATACTATTCTAAGCAATATTAGTATTTTAAGTAAAAATAGTATTTTAAGTAATATTATTTAAAATAACATGAAAATATTAATTACTTCAAAATAAATAATTAAAAAATTATTTTTACAATTTTTAAATTATTTATTGCAATATGTTTAAATTAAAATTTTACCATTTTAATTTTATATTAGTATATTATTTTAAATTAGTGATGGATGAAATAATATTTTATAAATTTTAAACTTTTAGTATTTTAAGTAATATTATCTAAAACAATATGCTAAAATATTAATTTAAAAAATTAAATATATAAAAAAAATAGATTTAAAAAAATAACTAATAATTCCGTAAAATAAATTAGTTGAATTTAACGAACTGAACGTAATGAATTTAATAAAGTTGTTTGTGAAGTTAAAACGAATCAAGTTTGAGCTCTAAAAAAATTCGTATCGAATCAAATTTCAAACATAATAAATTCTTATCGAGTCGAACAGAACTCATACAAATTTGATTCGATTTGACACTTATTGAGCCTTAATAAATAATTGTTTTAAAAAGATGGAAGTATTAAATTGTCATTAAAAATAATCTTAAAAAAATTGTCTTTTTATATAATAATTATTAATCGAAATCATTGTATTAAATTAAAAGATTAGATTTTCTTACAATTCTATTTATATAATGATTTGTAAAAATCTTCATCCTCGAAACCTTTCATAATTTATTTCACATCTTCCTCCAAAACATATCAAAAGATATTTTAAAATAATAATATAATGTTTTCATATTTAAAAATTTTACCATTTTATTTTATAATGTTATTGATTTTTTTAATTTGAAACATATCATATTAGTATATTATTTTAAACTAGAAATAGTTGAAATATTTTTTTATGAATTTTTAACTTTTAGAATTTTAAGTAATATTACTTAAAATAATAAGCAAAAATTCTTTATTTTACTATAAATAATTAAAAAGTTAATTTATATTGTTTAAATTATTTATTGCAATATGTTTAAATTAAAATTTTACCATTTTAATTTTATATAAGTATATTATTTTAAATTAGTAATAGTTGAAATATTATTTTATAAAATTTAAACTTTTAGTATTTTAAGTAATATTAATTAAAATAATATGCTAAAATTATTTATTTCAACATAAATAATTAAAAATTGATTTATTTTAAAATAAATAATAGTTTAAAATATGATTATATTCATTTTTTAAAATATTGCAATATGTTTTGGAATAAGATGTGTAGTTAATAAGAAAAAATTATGTCTCTCTTGTTTGGCCGGGTCCTTGTGATCGATTGCCTTGCTTGTAAAGTTTTCTTGTCTATTAATATAAACTATCTTGATTATATATATATATATATATATATATATATATATATATATATATATATATATATATATATATATATATATATATATATATATATATATATATATATATATATATATATATATATATATATATATATATATATATATATATATATATATATATATATATATATATATATATATATATATATATATATATATATATATATATATATATATATATATATATATATATATATATATATATATATATATATATATATATATATATATATATATATATATATATATAGTTATAGATTTTTTCAATTCATTAAGTTAATTAAAATCGAACTAGCTATTGAATTAGTGGGTTCAAGGTTTTAAAGTTTAATTGGGGTTCGACTGAGATCGGACTGTTTTTTAATTAAATATATATTTTTATTATTTTTAATAATATTTAAAATAAATAAATAAAAATTAAATAATATTAATAATTTCATTACAACAATATATAAAATTTCATAACTTCATAAGTCAACATATAAAATTAGAACATAAAAATTGAATCCAAATCAAATTACATGAAAATTAAGTTCAAAATCACAAAATACTAGTATAACATCCATTTTTAAATAGTTTGAAACAAAATAGTTGATGAAAACTATGAATCATTGTAGCTATGAAAGTTTATTTCTCCATGATTAAATATGATATTGGGAATGACTAAATCTTCGACATTTGAATCACCATTATCTCCTTTAACAGCATAATCTCCTTCAAATTGAAACTCTGTAGTGTCAAAAAATTTATCGTCAAATTAAATAAAAAGAAGTGAAAAGTAAATTTAACTATTTCATATTTCAATCATGTGAATACAATTCAATATTCAATACCTAACTAAAAATTAACCTTTATTGTTTCTTGAAGACTTGTCAACAATTGGAATTGCATTAAGTAAATTTAACTATTTCATATTTCAATCATGTGAATACAATTCAATATTCAATACCTAACTAAAAATTAACCTTTATTGTTTCTTGAAGACTTGTCAACAATTGGAATTGCATTATCACGATAAAGAAGATTTTCAATTTCATTGATATCAAGTTCGAGAGGTGATTCTTCTTCAACCACCCAAAAATCAATTGTATCAATAAACTCATAATCAATGGGATCATAACATATCTTCTTAGATTTAAACCTACATGAAAACATGACATCAAATTGAAAATGTTTTGTATATAATAAGTGAAAAGTAATAGTATTGTGACTTAAGATAAAAGTTAATACCTATTTCACAAACGCAAGTTATAAGCAACGTAGACAAGATCATTAAGTCTTTGATATTCAAGTCTATTTCTTCTCTTTGTATGAATAGGTTAAAAAATACTCCAACTTTTCTTATACCTTGACGAAGAAGAAGTCTGACTAAGAAGACAAATTGCCAACTTTTACAAAATTGGAGCACTATCTCATACATCTCCACCATTTAACTACAAAACTATAATGAAATTGAAATATATAAAATAAAAAATATGGTATAATAGTTAATTATAAAATACTAAAGATATCATTTAATTCTCACCTGCTTATATTGACTTTATCACAATAATATTATTAGCACTTTTTTGATCAAAACTTCATTTTCGATCTTGATACACTTGAATCTCTTGAAGGGCTTTTCTCATGTTAGGACAAAAAGATTTTATTTCAATTAATTTAACAAGTGCTTCCATGATCCTACTATTATCTTTGAAAGCATCACCATAAAGTAACACTGGATTAAGAAAATAAGAACTTGCGTGAAGATCATGTTTTAAGTGTTTATTTCATCTAGACTTATGATTTAGGTCAAATGATGGAACCTGTAAAACTACATTAGTATTATTAAGATGTGGTTGAGCCTAATTCAACCCTACAAAATCGACTTGTAAGGTGAGGATTACCCCCACTTACAAACACATGTTCAGGCCATATATTATCTGATGTGAGATTCTTAACAAGTATCATATCTATCATGCATCTGTTTAAGAAAATAAGGATTACAAAAAAATAAATATTTAAAAAAATTTTTAAAAAAAATCGCTGCAACCTTTAAAACCGCTTGGACGGCCGGTGTATTCGATTTGGTCCGATTATTCACCGATTTTCTAATTTTAAACCGATTTTAGTGATAGACAATATTCAACAAATACGAATCCGGTCCGGTTTTCACTATAGAACCCTATAAGATTTGATCAAAATTTTTTATATGAAAAAATGAAATTCATTATTTGAAAAGATAATTGAAACTGATTATTTTTTAAAAAACTTCAAACTCATTATATTAAACAAAAAAATCGAAACTCCTTCTAAAAATTGTATATACTATAGTTAAAATTTTAAAAACAATGAATGAGTGTGTTATGAAAGACGAAAAGTATTAAATTAATAATTCCCCTACGCTCTCCATGCTCTCTTCTTTTATATCATACCCTCTCGTTAACTTCAATATTAATTATTACCGGTATTTCTTTGCTTAATAAAAAAAATATAACGAGTTTTATATTTATATTTCTTGATATAATAGTTGTTTTTTTTTTTCATATAATGAGTTTCAATTTTTTTCATATAAGTTCTTTGGAAAAATTCAAACACAAATGATTTTTTTCCTTATATTTATTGATATTAAAATGTGGGTATAATATCTCGTCAAACACTAATTTTATTTGACGGAATAATATTCAAATGATTGTAGATTTAGATTTTAATAAAAATAAATTAGATTTACCTAATTTTAGAATTAGATAGATAGAGGTTTTGATTTTTTTTTTCTTCCTCATTTTTATACACGCGTCTTTCTCTTGAGTTAAAAAAACATCTTTGTAATATTTTTAATAACAAATGTGATTTATAATAAAAATTAAGTTAAATTATAGTTTTGTCCTTCTATTTTGATCAACTCACAAAATTAGTCTTCTATTTATTTTAAGTAATTTTGATACCCGTTTTCATTTTTTGTCTAAAAAATACGGATGTATCTTTTTTTTTATACGTGACATACTTTTTAAGCGAGATAGAACATAGAGAATATTTTCTGAAAAACAAAGAAGACAAATGAACAAGTTGAGAGAGAAAGAAGATGAAGAAATCGATCAAAGAAGATGAATAATTAA